CACATAAAGATTTGTTCTTCATCGGTTGTCATCAGGAAAGTTCAAATTGAAACTGTGTTGAGACACCACATCCCATAAACTAGGTTAGCCGACCTTAGAAAGACAGCACCAACGTGTGATGAGAAGGGACTGGCACCAGCATGTATGGCTGACGGGAGTGTAAAATGGTGCCACCAGGATCTGAAGTATTAAGTGCTGCAACCACTTTAGTGCACCCCTTTGCAGAACTCCAAAATTGAATACGTAAGTTGTATACATTTTGCTTTATGTACATTTCACCTTAAAAAAAAGAATAGATTTTAGTCTTTAAAATGCTTTGATCATCACCATAACCAACAGTGCCCCTTCCTTCCCTTCCTCCCTCCTGGCTTCCCATCCTTCCTACATTCCTCCCACCTTTTTGTTTTTGTTTTGGGCTTTCCTGCCAGGTCAGATAGTTTTAGGGACCGACTAATGCAAAGATGAATGAAATAAGTTGAGTTCTTGTCCTCTGGGAATGAGGCCACAGTGAAGCACAGCATGGGGTGCAGAGCTGGGCAGGGCTGCCGGGTTGCAGGCTACGCCCTGTTAAGAGGCGAGTCTGGATGCACAAGAGTCTCCTTAGACACGGCGGGAAGGGCTCTCTGGGAAAGGGGAACAGCATGTGCAAAGTTCTACGAGTTGGCAACTTGTGATCAGAAATGCTAGAAGCCGCTGTTGGAGGAGAGGAGGTCTGTGTGGGGAAGGCGAGTCAGCAAAAGCCGTGTCACGAGGGACGTTTACCTGTGGAGGAATTTGGACTTTATCTTGAAAAGAAAGGGCAATGCTAAGGTCTTCTATCATCTTGTCTTCCTAACTAGATTATAAATACCTTGAAATCAGGGTCTGTTATTCATCTCTGTATTCTTTGCAATGTCTGGCCCTCATCCTGGAATGGGTAGGACAGCATGGAAGTGTTGACTGATCTCCTAGGGCTGCGATAGTCGATTCAGCATGTTACTGTGATGAATGAGTCAGAGCAGAGATACTTTTGGAATGGAGGGGTGGGGGTCTTCTCACACTCTGGGCATTGTGCCTACGAGGCCCTCCCAGCAATCATCTAATCCAGCCTATGTCATCTCCTCATTTAGGATCCACCCATGACCTTTGATTGCTCTTAGGATAAAGAACAAAGTTCACAGTGGCTTTGAAGGCTGCTGGTCTCTGTCTGCAGTGCTTTCTACCTGTTTAGTTCCTATTTATCTCTAAGTGCTAACTTCACTTCCCTGGGAAAACCTTCCCTGTCCCGTCTTTCCCCACAACAGGTGGGCTCTCAAAACTCAAAGTGTGATGGTCCCTGGGCTGATGTGGCCAGTAGGCTCCTTCTGCTGGCCCTGTGCTGTCTCTTTGTGCCCTGTACCTAGGAGACTGCTTAGCATTTAGCAGACACTGAAACAGACTTTTTTTTCTAGTTGTGTAAAAGAATCCTTGAGAAAATTATCAGGAATGTATTATGACTGTGTCATCAGATGAAGAAACTGGAATTCAGAGTAACCTCTTATCCAAGGTTGCATAACTCATAAGGGCCAGAGCTGGGACTGAGTGGTGTCTGACAGACCCCCTCTTTCTTTGACAGACACACAGGTGGAGACGTTTCCCTCAGTGCCACGGCACAGCCTCTCTGTTGATGTATTAACAGGTGAATGGTGTGGTGGTTGAGAACACAAGCTCTGTAACCAGTCTGGACTCAAATTGCTCCTTCACCATTCACTAACTTTGTTGCCTTTAGCAAGCTACTAACCTCTCTACAATTCACTTTCCTGGGAAGTGGGATAATATTACCCACTGTGTAGGACTGATATGAAGATGCAATATATTAATCCATACAAAACATTACCATTAAGTGCACAAAAGTATTCAATAGTGGTTAGCCATTACTATTATCAGTATCTGTTTATTTATTTCCATATTCTTATTATCCCAAAATTAAATCCAGAGACCCTTTAGCAATTCTTAAATATTTTTTACTCACAAAAATTCTCTTTGTGTATAAAATCACCTGCCCCTAAATCATCTGAGTTCTCTAAATTTAAAGTTGGTCCATTTCTGCATCTCAGAAGGAGCAGAAGTTATGTACTTATAACAGCAAGATGTAGTAATACTACTGCCCTTTGTTGTGACTTTCTGGGTTCTCGGATTCACATGTTTCTTTATGCCGCTGCTCAGTTAGCAAAGGCTGTGTGCAGTGTAATAAAGGATGCGTTATTCATAGCGCTGTTCTCTCTCAGACAAATCAGAAACTTTTTCCCAAACTAAGCAATGCATTATTGAGCTGTCTAAATTACTGACCTGATTGTTGAAAAGTGATTTATGTCGCTATTATTTTCCCCATATCAATAGATGAGAGCAGGTGTGAATAACAGGAAATTAAAAAGGAAGAAAAATAATTACTCCACATAAACAATAGCTGTGTGCTAAAGTTCTAACATTTTTAACACGTTTAATGGAATTTTCTGTAAAATCCTCTGTTCGTTGCTTGCTTGTCCCTTGTGCTGAAATTCTTAATAGGTAGTTTCTTGTGGTCAGGGTGTAATATTGCGTGTGTGTGTTTTAGTAACTTAACTGTTTACCTTGTTCTTAAAAGAAAATAGCAAGTGACTGTGTTTAAATATTAAAGTACAACAGTCTAGTCACTACCCCTGGGCCAGGCATC